GAAGAGTACTGAATGCAAATAGGAGAAAGAACAAGCTAGATAAGTTAAGAGAGAAAGAATTAGAGAGACAGAAAAACTTAAAAGATATCAATGATGTTTTGTTGTCACATGACTCCATGACAGAAGAGATTCAATTCAGCAGTGAGGAAGAAAAGTCAAACGAGGACTCTGAAATCAGCAAGGAAGATGATTTCCTGGGTAACGGTCGGAAACGCAGGTATAATATTATTTTAATAACATAGTTGTAATTTTCACAAGCTAAAGCTGTTTTATTGAAAAGTATATAATTATAAATAGGTAGAAAAATATTATAAAATGATACCTAGGTAGAATTCTGGAGATAGGATAAATCTAGCAGTGAATGTTGAAAAGCTCATTGAATGTACTGCTATTCTAGCAACAAGGTTTAATGTTGGTGTACGACCTCATCTGGCAATTTTAAGTGAAGTATTTAAAGCTGGAGGTATAGAAATTAATGATATACCGCTTTCACGAAGCACACTTCATAGAAAAAAGTTCAAATATGTAGAACTTGAAGGAGACTTGGAGTGGATTCCAATATCTAATCATCTTAAAGGCCGACGGCTTATTCTTCATTTTGATACCAAACTGTTGGAACAAATTACCACTGGGCTTAACATTATTCAAAAAATTGAGCGACTTGCAGTCTTAGTGAGTTTCCCGGATGACGATACCATGGAAGACCATCTTTTAGGTGTTGTTCAATGTCCCTCTTCAAAGGGAGTTGACCAAGCAGAACAAGTGCACAATCTTTTAGAATATTACGGTTGTAAAGAGCAGATCATTGGTATATGCTGTGATACAACTGCAAGCAATACAGGCGAAGTAAATGGAGCAGTCCAAATTCTTACAGATATTTTGAAATTACCAATTTTGTGGATAATGTGTAGGAGACACATATATGAAGTACATGTATCTCACTCTATGGCTGCCCTTACTGGTGAAAAAATTAAAGGTCCGAGAAGAGCTCTTTATGTCAAGCTAAAGAACAAGTGGCCTGAAATCTGTGAGAAAGTGAATGAAGTGAAAAATTTATGTAAATTGGATTGACAAAGAGATGATCTGAAGATTGGCTCTGTTCTTCGCACTGTTGCAGAGGAAGCTAAGACATTTTTGACTAATGCAACTACTGATATAGTGTTTTCAAGGAATGATTATGGTATAGTTTGTGAGCTTGCCTCCTTCTTCCTTGGAGTGGAAGTACAAGATTTTAAGTTCCATCAACCTGGCACCTGCCATGAGGGAAAGTTTTTAGCAGATGCAATCTACATCCTGACTCTTTATATGACTAAAGATATTAGTAATATCTTGACAGAAAAAGAAATTCTGCAGTTGAAGGATGCAAGTTTGTTCATTGCAATTTGCTATGTTCCATGGTTTTTAAAAAGTTTTTTAAGATTTCTGGCTCCCTACAATGATTTGAAAGCTATCCAGACAGCCTATGCATTGAGAAAAGTTAGTAAGAAAATGCTTTGCTTCTCAGCATGGGACGCCATACGTGGTACTTAACTCCGCAACTCTGTGTTTTTTCCTTTGGGGATAAAGAAGTTCCTTCTGAAACAAAGCTAAGAATGCTGTTAGCTCTGATTGAGTTTGAAGAGCCAAATGAATTTCAGCGTTGTAAACCATCAAATGTACAAATTGGAGAGACCACAGAGCTAACTGAGTTGATTTCCGAGCAAAGCTACCTTCTCTTCAAACATTTTAAAATATCAAGAGCAAGTATAAAAGAATGGCTTAATAATAGTCTTAATACTATAGATGTTTTTAACCATACTCAGTTGCTAGATTTTATTGCATGGATCAAAAACATATCTGTTGTAAATGATGGTGCAGAAAGAAACATTAAGCTCATTAAAGATTTTATTTCAGCTACTAGAGATGAAGATCACTGTTAAAATGTACTTTTTGTAGTTAAAAAGTCTAGAAAAAACTTGACTAAGACTATGACTAAAAAGGAGCTTGGGAACTGTTCAAAAAGTTGTATTTTTTGAGAAATGTTTCACTGCAATAAAATATTAAATTTGCTAATAAATATTAGTTTTCATGTATTTTTTTTGTATTTTCATATTTATAAATATAATCTATCAAGTTAAATAGTAGAAAACAATTGGAAATGATTTATACCCATCTAATTGTTTTGTTTTAATTTTCTAAAATGTGTTTTCTATTAATGTTAAGCTAGCTTAACATTAAAACAGTAAAACTCAGATTTTACATCTAGCACTTCCTGTCAAAATAAAACCATCAATTTTTTTTTAGTACCTATTTAGGTCACATAGAATGGGAATCAGTAGAGAGCTTTTTTTTTCTTTTTTTTTGGGACACCCAAATATACATTCTGAATTCAAAAACAAAGAAACATTCTAGTCAATTAAGTTGCATTTTTGTGGTTTTTAGCAAACAATAAAATGTAGTTAGTTTATCAATTATTTTAATGGTTTTACATAATGGTTAATAATTTTAATGGTTTTACATAAAGATTTTACCTAGTTGTTAACATTAAACACAAAGAGTTTAAGATTTCTTAAGAGCCATTTTTTTATCAATTTTTTTTTTTCTATTTGTCCCTAGCAGAGCAGTGTTGTTGTTTTTTGGGGCCCTGTGCTGCATCTTTTTGGGGGCCTAAAAAAATTTTTTTAAATTTGAAATTATTTTTATTGGGTTTTGTTTTAAAAAGAAATTATACAAAGTAATTATAAGCCATTTTTCCTAGTTTATTTGCTTGGAAACTCATTTTATCATCGTAATCAATTGTTCTGACATTTGTGTTTTCTATCAACAGTATTGCTGATCCTGAAAATCTTTCCTGTGAAATTATAGTCCGTATATAATTTGCAATTAATTTAAATTTATCTTAAAATAGAGCGTTTATTTTTAAATCCTCTTTAACATCAACTTCTAAGTGTTTGATTAGATTTGTACAGTTAATATTGAATTCATTTGTATTATTCATCATTGTATATTGATAGTTTTTAGGTTTTTTTTATCAAAAAAAAATTCTCTTAAAAATAATATCGCTTTTACACCATGTGTTTTGCTTTATTGGGCACATCTTTATTGAAACGGTCTATTCCTACTCTGCGTTTAATTTTAAACTCTAGAATTCACCATTTATATGCTGATTCCAGATGCCCCTACAAAGATGTTCAGATAACTGTATTTGTGTATGTGCATAAATTATGTGTGCATAATCAAAAAATCTACTTGAAGTTAAACATATTTTTATTGATAAAAACAAACAATAACAGAAGTAGTAAGTTTGACAGTACTTGAAAATTTCAGAAAATTTCTCTTGTTAAGTTAGAGTATTTAAGCTAGTTTCTTAATTTTTTTCACCACTTTTCATTTGTCGATAAAAAAAAAGTGTCACTAAACATCTTCTTCAAATAAAACATCTCTTATAATGGATATCTATAATACTTTTTGTTGACTGTTCTACCAAAAGCATCTGTTGTTTGTATTCGATTTCAACAGGTCGAGTTACAGGGTTTAATACATCTTAATTGAATTTTGATCAAGTACTGTTCTCTATTTGTGAATTACTACTAATTTCTAAAATATTGTTAAATATAATATCCTCAGTAATTACGCTATTGGATCCTGAATCACCATTTACATTCTTGTTCATTACGCTATTGGATCCTGAATCACCATTTACATTCTTGTTCATTACGCTATTGGATCCTGAATCACCATTTACATTCTTGTTCTGGTAGTTGTGGCTCATTTATATTTTTTTCAGATGTTTATTTCAGTTTATAAACAAACTGGCAAATCTTTGCCTCTTTCAAAAAATAATGATCCAGGCTAATTTAAACTAATGATCTGTAAAAATCTAACTATCCAGGCTATTTATTTTAAATTAATGATTTTTAAAAAATTTATCTAACTATCCAGGCTATTTAATTTAAACTAATGATCTTTAAAAAACTTATCTAATGATCCAGGCTATTTGATTTTGCTACTTTCTGGATCTATTTTGGTATTTTTGAACAATGCTTTTATAACATCTTTTTGACTTTCGAAGTTATTAAATGTTGTAAATGTAAATTAAACAAGAAGTGAGTGTAAAAGTGTTACCAAAAAAATTTAAAAAATAAATAAAAACAAACAATTTGAAGCAATAAAACAACAGAATATAACTTAAATAAAAACTTTTTTCAAAGGGGAAATTTTGAGCTGAATTCAATTCGCAATTGAATGGAATTCCATTTGATTGTGCGTACAAATTAAATACTCATATGAGTAATTTATATAAAATTAAAATGAAGCATTAGCTCCAATAGAAAACAACAGTTTAAATACTCATTTAAACTGTTGTTCTTGTTTATTGTTAATGTTTCATTTTATTTTTATATTTTGTTGATGTTATTTGTAGCTGAAAAATTAGGAAATATTCATCAAACTCTTAACAAAAATGTTTCTAATCAAAAGGTATTTTGACTTTAATAATTCGGTTATTGAGTTTCCATGGTGATCCGTCAAAATTATCTGAGGAAAACACAGATTCGTTTAGAAATTTATATAAAATTTCTAAATGAATCTGTATTTTCCTCAGATTTCCTAAGAAAGCCTTCTTTTTTATAGTCTTCTTTTTAATAGTTCTAGAACATGCATTTCATATTTCAGAATATTAAACTATTGGTTTCTTAAGAATTTCTAATTAGAATATTAAACTGTTTCTTAAGAGGCTTCTTGTGTTAGTATCTTATAGTATCTTATAAACAAGTTTCTTATTATAAAAACATGTTTTCAATATTTTGGGCCCCTTAAATACAGGAAGCTCAGTGCAATTGCACTTGTTGCAGTTGTGATAGTCTGGTACTTTTAAGTATAGGTATAAATCTAAATCCTCAAAAGTAAGTATGTGTGTGTGTGTGTGTTTATAAACACTCACTCATAATGATGGTTATCAAATATAAGATAATAAAAGTAGGTTTTAAATTATTCATCATTTTAACTTTTTTTTTAAAAAGAAAGTTCCAAAGAATGATAAAGTTGAAGAGCTTCAAAAAAGTCTCAAGGATGCAAATGACAAATTAAGTGCATCTCAGGAGAGCTTGCTTCAACTTTCATCTGCAGAGAATGAGCTTAAAGAGGTATAAACAATATATTTTTTTATACTGTGTTTATAAGGTATATATAACAAAATATTTCTAAAAATATGTTCTTACAATAGCTCTTTCTTTTTAAATAAATAATTTTTGTTATTAGTTGAACCTTAAGATGGATAAAACTGCATCTTTGTTGAAAAGTTCACAGGAAGTTACGGCTTCTCTTCAAATTGAATTGACTAATAAGAATAATGAACTTGATCAATCTATGAAAGAAAATCAGAAACTTAAAGAACTCGCTGAGAAGTTAAAAAGTGACTTAGATAATGAAAAGGCATTGTTTTTGCAAAAGGAAAGTCATTATAATGAGGAGGTGTCTTTTTTTTTTTTTTTTGTTTTTCAATTTTAAATTAAGAGATTATAGAATGTAAAAATGTTAGAAGTTGATTTTAAAGTTTTATTAAGTTAAATTGTTTTGTTTTTTTATATTTTTGGTTTGTGACATTCTGCTATAAAACTATTTTATTAAAATTTCATAAGTTTAATTTTAGTCGGAAAAATTTGAAAAACTGTTTAATGAGAAGTATAACAAACTTTATGAAAAGTATCAAACAATGAAGAAGAAATTAAAAACCTATAAAAATGACAACCAGCAGGCATTAGAGAATATTTCTCATCTTAAACAACAGCTGCAAGATTATGATGCCAACATATTAAACTCATTAAGAACAGAACTAGATGATTACAAGCTTAAAAACACAAAGAATTTAGACGAAATAAATTCACTAAAATCTCAAGCTAAAGTTTTAGAAGATTTATCAACTGAAAAAAATAAATATTTGTTGAAGTAAGTTAAAGTATAAAAATATTTGAATTTATTTTTTGACTTTTGAGCATTTTTTTATTTTTTTAAGTATTTTTTTATTTTTAATTACAATTTATTTGTTCAATTTATTAAGATTGAGTTTTAGTTTTATTGTTGTTACAGTAAAATTAATTTATTGGAAGAAGAAATAGCAGTGTACAAGAACCAAAGAGATAAGGTTGTTTTTTTTTTATATTGAATTGAATTTTAGGGGTCATCCACAAATTATGTCATGCGAAAAGAAATGGTAGCATTTTGTGACAATTTGTTACAAGGTGGGGGGGGGGGGGGTTATTCAATTTTGTGATGCAATTTTTTTTTTTTCATTTTTTAAATCTTGAAAATCTTTTCTATTAGTTAAAAAGTGTGCCTAGCAACAAAGTGTGAACCCTCAGTTAATATTCACTCAACTGTGGCTGTTTCAATTTAAATTAAATTGGAAATGACTTTTTTATTTGATTTAAATTTTATTGGAATTGACTTTTTAAGTTGAATTCAATTTTAGTAGATTAATGTAAGCTGCTGTGTCTACGGATTTATCTGTCTGATATATCATCAATGAAAAAAAAAGTTATAGTAATATAATTAATGAATAAAAATGATTATTAAACAACATTAATAGCTAACATGCATTAGCATTCAATATTATAATGTTAATACAACCTGCACCATGACACACATACACCACTATAATTTAATGCTAAAGAAGTTATTTTAATTATATATTTATTAAAAATTAAATATCTTTAGAGGTTATCTGTCCGTTTAGTCACTGTTAATTTTTACAACTATATATCGAACTATAAGAGTGAAAAAAAGAATATATGTACACTTCACTTCCTCCATACTCATTTAAGTCATTCAATGTATGTAACTACTTTGCGACTATGGCAATATTAGTCAATTTATGTATATTAATATTTATAAATTGACTATTATTAGAATATTAATTAATATACATATTGATTAATATTCTTTAAAAAAAATATATATATATATATAAACAATAAATATAGATATAATTAAATAACAATAATAGTTAAAACATGTAAAACAACTTTCAAGTAAAACATCAAAATCTAAAAATTTATTTTCTGAAGAAAAGTAAAACCCTCACATCTCATGAGGCCGTGCCTCAGAATATGTAATTTAATCAACCATGGCTCTACACTAATATATCGCTATAATAAAAATTAAAGAACTTAACCTTTTTTGTGTATAATTAATTTGTGGGCTTTCTTGTGGGCTTAATATTTATATGCGGGTACTAAAAATGACTTTCAAAGTAATATTAGATAATAATAATCAAAACTTTATGTATTAAAATGATTAATTGAAGTAGATTAACTTAACATTAGATAGCTAAAAGCAGCTAAGATATTATCGTATTTAAAACAGCAAAAAAAAAAAAGGTTGGGGGGAGGTTACAAATTTGTTGCATAATTTTTTTTTTTAGGGGGGAGGGTCAGAAAAATGAGACAATTTTTTACCGGGGGAAATTTTTAAAATTGGGTAATTTTGTGAATTTACTTATTTTTTTACATCATTCAGATAATTACATTTAAAAATATTAAAAAATCTCAATACTGTGAAACAAATGAACTATTCTTACAGGTTCCTTCTCCACAACTCTCATCACAGCTGTCAACAAATTTACCTTTTAATTATATTAAAGATGAATTAACTTCAAAGCAAGACTATGTTGATGGTGTTGATAGTGGTACATTAATAAATGAAGAAATAAACCAGGAAGACTCAATGAAACTTCTTGTAAGCAACATTAAAGATAATTTCTATGTTTCTATGAACTTATATATAAATTTTCTATGAACTTATATATAAATGAAAGTGAATGTAATAATAAGACAAATGATATGAATTCTTTTCAGTCAATCGATAAATCTGAAAAATTAGGTGATGTAAGCCAAGAAGTTATGTCAGGAAATTTTAACAGTCTACCTGAAGACAATGTTGATTCTGGTTGTAATGATGAAGGGCAGTTTCTTATCATTAAAGAAAATGTTGAAGATGAAATGTTTTTACCTCCTCGAAGTAATTTAGTTTTTAATCATACTGCATCTCCTATAAAACTTGACTCTTTAGACAGTGAATGGAAACAGATTAATATTGATAAAAAAGCTGATGAGATTGCTTCGATGGTAGGTCATTTTCTTTGTTTATTTTATTTTTAAGTGAAAATTACCAATTTATTTACATTTTAAATATCTTCACTTTGCTCTTTGAATGTTTTTAATGACAGACATTTCTTACTAAAAATAAAATAGTGAACCTTGAATTATCAATAATATAGTAATAAATTGAAGTAATAAAATAAAATAAAGGTTCATGCTTCAATTTTCTTTGTTTGTTTATTGTTTATTCTTGGTTTATTATTTGTCACTTTGTTTATTATTTGGTCATTTTCTTTGTTTATTTTGTTTATATGTATATATAGATATATACAAGCCTTCTTAGGAGAAGTGTGCAGTTGCACAACTTATATGACCTCATAATTTTTTTTTTGTTTGACAACTTGGCCACTATTTTTTTTTATATTTTGATAATTTGCGCATTTAAAAAATTAAATAAAAAAACCAAACTAATTAAAAAAGAAACAAACCATAAACTGATAAGAGAAACAACTTGAAAAAATAAATTAAGGATAAACTATGTAATAAAAAAATTATAAGGCCTAGTTTTACTTGTGAACTATAACGAAGAATTGAATAAAGTCTACATCTTATGTTATTGTTACAACTGTTTTGATTTTAACTATTTTTGTCAGTTTTTTTTTTTACTTTTCTTTAAATTTCTTCTTTTTTTCCTTGAATGCCATTATACCCAGTTTCTCCTATACACACACACAAATAAACACACACATAAACTCTGTAAAAAATTAAAAAAAAAAAAAAAGATCCTCAAATTTTAATTTGGGCAGCACCCAAATCGGCGCTCAAATATGGTCAATGCTGTCGAAAACAGTCTAGAATAGCCCCTGTATATATATGTATGTGTGTGTGTATATATATATATATATATATATATATATATATATATATATATATATATATATATATATATATATATATATGTATATGGCAAAAATAGTTAAAATCCAAACAATTGTAACAATAACATAAGATGTAGACTTTATTCAATTTTTGTTATAGTTCACAAGTAAAACTGGGCCTTTAATTTATTTCTTATAAACCAGTGCGTCAATAATATGCTCTTAACTAGTGTTGAAAGTTAAAATAACTGTAGCAATCACTACAGGAGTTCTAACTTTCAACACTACAGGTATGCGTACCGCAAAAACACCAAAAAAAGCACATCTCAATAACTTTTTTATTATTTGCTTTGGAGAAAAACTGTTTTGAATGTATTTAGAGTTGCTTAAAATCAGTTCTTCCCAGCTAGTTTGATTAATTTTTAAGAAATAGTTTTGTTATTAATGTTAACTAAACTTTTGTTGTTTTTTGTATGTGTACCCCAAAAACCGCATTTAATTTATCGATTGTATCTCTGCAGCTAGTGAACCTATGAAGTTGAAATTTGGCGTGTCTTAATCTTATTTGATCTGCTTTAAATAAAACCAGTTACTGCTAACTTAATCTTGGAGAAAATACCCGATGCACCACAAAAACCACAAGATAGGTACCCCAAAAACAACATTGATATTTTAAAAATAACATTTTATAGGCTATACATGTGTTCTCGCTTTTTACTATATTGATTCTATGTAACCTCTTGATTCTAAAGATTTCATTGCAGTGTTTTAAACAAAGTTTTATTAAAAATCAATATCATTTTTAGAACATAATAGTTGCAAGAAATTATTAAAACTTACTTTGTGTTTGAACCTAGAGCAAAATCTAAATTTTTACTTGAAAGTTGTTTTTTAGTATTTAGATATGTTCTGTAAGCAACTAATGTACTCTAAAATGTTTAACAATAATTTTTTTAATCAAATAGAGTTAGAAAAAAATTAAGATAGAAAATGAAACGAAAATTTCAGCTCAGACAGGAAAAATTACAATCTATTCGTCGAAAAAGTAAGCCTGAGGCATCAATTGGGAGGAAATTCACAGATGCAAAGAATTTACAATTAAAAAAGGCAGTACAATTTTGTATCGACCACAGCATGCAAGGCTATAAGGCCTTGAAGACTGGTTTGTTTCCACTAGTAAAAGATAGAGAAACGATTAATAGAAGATTAGATCGAATAATAAAAATTGGTAAGTTAAAATTTTTTACAGAATAATGATTTAATTTAGTTAGGTATCTAAAGAGCTTTGGTTTTTCCTAGGCGAGGAACGTCGATATTGTTGTATTTTTACACTTGAAGAGAAGGAGGCGATAGTGAAGTATGTCAAGAACAGGAATAGAAGTCTGCAAGGTATCAACAATACAGAGTTGACCAAACTCCTTCTTGATATTTTAAGGATAAGGGACTAAAAGATGCAAAGGAGGGACTAAAAGATGTAAATGAATAAAAGATGCAAAAGAGGTCGGAAGTTGATTAAGTTGTCTTCTAATGCAAAATCAGCTCTGGTTAATGGGAAGTAAGTCTAATGATTTTTTGTTCATGTTTGATCTAAAGAAAAAATGAAATTTACATAATCAAAATTACTCAATAGTAATATTTGTAGCCTTGCTTTTTTTATATATATATATAGCAGTAAATGTTGATCATTTGTAAGTGCAAGTCAAATGTTTAGGGTTATTTCTATAGAATATTTTAGACCATTTTTTATTGTTTCAGACTTAGTCGTTCATTTTGGACACGATTCCATGCAAAACATTCAAGCCTAACAATTAAACGCCAGGGTCAGGTATCAATAAACAGAGCACTTAACTGTACCCGAGAAATGGCTTGTAATCATTTGAATGATCTTGCAATTGAACTTCAGGCATCCGGTATTATGAAAAATGCTGAAAAAGTAGATAAGGGTGTATGGAAAGGTGACATTGACACAACAAGAATATTTAATGATGATGAGACACCGCAATTTGTGAACTATGGTGTTGATGGTACTTCAACAGGCTTGGTATATGCAGGGAAAGGTGAACAATGCTTAAAAATGCATAAAGAAAACAGGGAATGTGTTTCAATTCACCCTTTTGTGTCTTTTTCAGGTGATGTTTGTATATGTCAAGTCATTTTTTCCTCGGTTGGAATAACAAGCCAGATGACACCACAAGTAGCTGTAGAAAAAATCAGTCACCTCCTTGTTACAACAGGCGGCTTGCCAAGAGTTTGATGATTACCTTACTGAGAAGGCAATAGAACGACCTGTTGTTTTATTATCTGATGGACATAGTTCACGATTCAGTTATGACGGTTTAATATACCTCCTTTCAAAACAAATTTGGTTATTTATTTTTCCTCCCGACACTACTGGTGTAACTCAGTTGCTTGACCAGGTTAATAAAAATCTTCATCATGAGTACAGAATTGCCAAGAATTATCTTTTCAACCCAATGCAATCAATTAATCGAGAGGGATTTATGACCATCTTAGGCAATATATGGGAGAAATGAACATCGAAATCGGTTCTTGTTTCTAGTGCAAAAAGAGTTGGAATAACACCTTTTGAATTAAATGTTAACTTTATGCAACAAGATAAATTTGAGTGAGCTGCTGCATGCATTCATAAATAAGAACCAGCGTCAACTTCTTTTTAAAAACCTGAATCAACCATTTCGCCACCAGTTGGTATAAGGAAAGGTTCGGCAAGTTACTGGAAAGATAAGTTTGACCAGTCTCAAATCTTGATTAGAGAAATGGCTGAGCAAAGCCTCCAATTAGAAAATATTCTTGATCTGCTAACTATTAAGAAAATTAAACCAAACCTTGAAAAAATATCTACTCTTGTTACTCAGGTCTATGGTTCGGTGCAAAAGATGTTGCAGCAAAAGTGAAAGATATAAAAGAAGAGAAACGACAAAAGATAACAGCAAAGGAGGAAGCCAAAAAAAAGAAAGAAGAAGCTAAAGAAAAGTTTATTAAATGTAAAGTTGAATGTTTTTGCAATTAAAGGAAATGTCAAGCTTTTGGCCTAAAGCAATGTCCTAATTGTCCTAATGTTCTCTGTTCAATTTACAGCAAAGTGAGTTTCAGAGTTGATGGTGTTAAACAGGTTATGCTTTTACCAGCAAACCAGCACTTCTCCACATCTAAAAGACTGATATACGACCATTATAACGAATGCAACAACAATCAATAATTTTTTTTTGAATTAAAGTAATCAGTTAAAGTATTTTATTTATCTATGTTATCTTAACATTTTATTTATCTATGTTATCTTAGCATTGTTGCAGTAACCTATTGTTATAATAATGTTATAAAGTTTGCAGCCATTTTAGATGTGTTATTACTGCTGCGTTCAAATATTGTTTTTAAGATAAATGTATATTATTTTCTTTAAAAAAAATCTAATACAATGGTAATTTATTGTTGTTTTTTATTTCAAAACATGGTCTGTAAAGTGAATTCTATAAAATGTACCCCAAAAACAACAATAATACTTCCTTTCTTTATGAGGGTGTTATAAAGATTTATAACTACTTGAGAAAAAATTTTTTTTTTCAGTATCTAGTTATAATCCATAGGTAATAGAAAAAGTATATTTTGCTAACTTATTCTCTGATACGGCTTCTAGGCTCCACAAAACAAAAAAAACTACACGTTTTTATAATTGAAATTTTTACTCTAGTGCAGATACCAACATATTTGACAAATAAAAAAACCACTAAAACTGCTTTAATTTATATGCTGACATATTAGCTATCATAATATATCAAGTTTTTTGAATCCTGAATTTTTTTTTACATGCTAGGTCACTTAAGCCAACATTGTGGTTTTTGCGGTACGGTTGTTTTTGCGGTACGTATACCTGTAGTTAAGTTTTTTTTAAAAAGTCAGAAAATTCCTGAAGTGTCTTCCTCTGACTTTTTTTTAAATGCAGTATTTGATCCATATACTTAGCATCAGCTTGTCTATCTAGAGCTTTTGTTTTTTTAAAAGTTTGTTTTTTGAAAAAACATTTCTATCAACTAACCATTTGCCTGTATCATAAAAGTTGCTTATCACATTTTTCATTTTCACAGCTTCTAGATTTTTCATTTTCAGCTTCTGCACCAAAAATTTTGAAATTGATTTTAAATCATTTCAACCATTTTCTGTCATAGTAAGTGAGTACATAGTAACATACATAGTAAGTGTGACTTCATAAAAGCCAAATCCAAGGCTGAATTTAATTGGCACAATAAAGAGGCAGACACAAAAGAATTACACCACTCTCTCTCACAATGTTAATCAGTGTGAGATTCAGTCCATTGGTTTATTCAGATTTGTGTCCATCTAAAATAAGTAAAACTGGAGAGCTTATTTTGGCCCCTGAATATTGAATAAATTTTCTTGACCGAACAAATCACAACCAGCATTACCAACAGGTCATTAATCAAACTGTGTTTCTTATTGTTTCTAACTACCAGCTTATATGCTAACATGTTGAGCTTAAATGAGCTGAGTCCAAATGCATCTTTACCATTAGGTGATATTCATTAGGATGACCCTTAAACAACTTTTTTTAAATTGTCTGCTCTCACCCTCTAAATGTGTTCTATCTAATACAAAAACACTAGATTTAAATTTTTTTTAAATAAAAAATATTTTAAAGAGTTCCCCAAGACCCGCGAATATTTAATGGGTCCCTAATATTTTCAAAAAAAAAAATTCTTCAAAAGTATGTCAATCTATACTCAATGAAGTGAAATTATATAAAAGTTTCAAAAAATAATATTCGTTTCGAATATTTTTTTTTTTTTTTTTAAATTTGGTTTAAAATATTAGACCAAATTTTTTTTTTTTTTAAAATTTGGTCTTGCATCATTCTACGAAAATGTTTTTGGATACCATCCTGAACTGCTCTAATAATTGGCAGACACATTTTGGAGGGTGTCTTCAGGCTGCTGATTTTTGTTTGTAACTGAAAGATCACTGACAGAAACCATCCCATGTGTGTGTTGATCTTAGACTGAAGAATGTCCATTGCCTTTACAGGTTTCATAACTATGCAATATTCAGTCAAGAAAACTATTTCAGCTGGATTTACCCTATAATACACACAACAAATGCAAATTTATAGACATTTCTTGCAGGAATATGTGTGGAATAAATATGAAAAAATATATAAGAAGGGAAACTTAAAGAAATTATTTCAATCAAACTGAAGGCATTAATTTTTTTTGATACTTTTGTTATTAATAGGTTTTTTTTTTACATTTCCTAATGCTCATTTGTAAAATTTAAGTATAACTATGTGACAAAAAAACTTTACTGAAAATGTTTCAGGCTCCTAAAGCAGTTGTAGGTAGCTGCAGGATCCTAGATCCTACAACAATTGTGTAAACTATTTAAAGTACAAAGTAATATTATAAAGGTATACAACTAATGTTAAATAACCAATACGTTAAATTAGCAATTGTTTAATGTAAATTTGACAAAAAATAATCATCAATTTTGCCAACTTTTATCTATTTAAATTAAAATGTTTGCTTAAAGATTTTAAATTTTTTTTTGCACTAAGCAACTATATTTTTAAAATGATTTAAAGCTTATCATTTTTATAAAAGCGTGCAAAACTGTAAATTAAATATAGTATTTACAACTATATATTATATTTAACTGATATTTTGTGATATAAGTGTGCGTTTATTAATGCAGATATATATTATTAAAATTTGTTTTTATTAAATACTCATTTTATCAATTAAAACATGTTATTTTCTTCTTTCTTGCAAAATTTGCAGAAAAAGATATAGAATTGATAACTTCACCATTTTTTTTTTTTGCATATATGCGTGCCATGCATATATGAAAAAATGCTTTGATTAAATTAATTTAAATAATTTGATTAAATTAAATGATTATTTTCTTAAGTACAAGAAGCATCTGCAAAGAACATCAACATTGTCAAAAAAAAAGCCAATAATTGTGTAACAAGGATATGTAATTAATTGAAAATAACAACTTCTTATTTTCTTTTAAAGTACTTCGAACAAAGTGTAAACAGCAAAACTTTAGTTTAAATTTTCTTCTGAAATTTGACAAATAAAGATTTAAAATTCGAAACATGAGCAGTGCACACATTTGATGTCTTTGTAACTTCACTTAATGAGATATTATGAAAACTATAAGGAAACAAAGTTATAAAGCAGGCGCCATTTTTTATCAACTAATAAAATTAAATCATACTTTTTTAAAAATACTAAAACATTATTTTTTTAATTAGTAATTTACATGGTTTGAAATAAATCGAATTTAAAAAAAAAAAAATACTCTAGTAAAAGTAAAAGTACACATTTAAAAAAATGCTTAAAAAGGAGAAATTAACAAAAAAAAAAAAAAACACAATTAAAGTAAAGTGAGCAAATGTAATTTGTTACTTTCCACCTCTGTGTGTGTGTGTGTATATATATATATATATATATATATATATATATATATATATATATATATATATATATATATATATATATATATATATATATATATTAAGGAACCCCTCTAAAAAAAATTGAGGCAAAGGTAGGAGCCACAGAAATTATAAAATGCATAGAAACACAGCAATTGCTAGCAAGTGTTCAAAAAGAGATGTTTATTAAATTTTAATTGGGTTTAAAGTTAAAACCTATAGAAAAATTATTGTTCAATTTCTAATAAAAAATCTACTTAACCTTTTGAACTTTAAAAAAGCAAGGAAAACTCTATCAATAGTGTATTAAGAAAAATCATTTTTAGTAGTTTTAATGATCTTTTATTAAAGGTCAACTGTAAGATTAGTAATTTTCAAGAACTATTGAAATTGTAAAACTAAATTTATTTTTTTACCGACTACAAAAAAATCTGACATCTTGAACTTGCTATTTAAATGCTTAAACTGTTTTAAATGTTTAAATGTTTTATTTGCATCTTTCTTTATAATCTTTTATTGTATCTTTTTTAGCTAAGCAAAAACCTTTTTTTTAAATTGATGTAATATTTTTTTGTATATCCATTATTTATGAACATATTTATTGAGTAAATAAATTTGTTTAAAGAAAAAATTAGTGTTTTAAAAAAAATAATGTTTTAAATGATATACTTAGGAATTAAAAATGATATTTAACTTTTTAAAATAAATTCTACATGGTATTGATTGAAGTTAAAATTGTAATAATGATGCAAAAGTTACATATCTTAAAATACCTAATGATATGTTATGTTAAAATACCTAATTACGTACTGTCTTAAAATACTTTGACATCCTTATTAAAATACCTAAAGACATGCTATGTTAAAATACCTAACAACATTTTATAGGTTATGAGTCATTCACCAATAAGAAAATCAACGAACTCTTCAGAAAATAGTTCTTCAGAAGATGAGAATGAATCAAATTTATCTACTAATAATTTGGATACTTCAACTGATCATGTGCAAAGTACAAAAATGGATATGTCATACTTGCGAAGATCTATGCTAGCTGAAGGAATTGATCTTGAAGCTGAAGGAATTGAGGATTCTGCTCTTGATAGTCAAAATATTAGTCTTGGTATATTTTTACATTTTATAATATTTTTTTTAAATTTAGGATGAAAATATTTTGGTTTTTATGATTTTTAGTTTTTCTTGTTTTTCTTGATTTTTTTAATCATGTAAATAATTGTAAATATATATATATATATATATATATATATATATATATATATATATATATATATATATATATATATATATATATATATATATATATATATATATATATATATATATATATATATATATATATATATATATATATATATATATATATATATATATATATATATATATATATATATATATATATATATATATATATGTATATATATATATATATATATATATATATATATATATATGTATATATATATATATATATATATATATATATATATATTTAAATATATTTAGATATATATATGTGTGTGTGTGTGTATATATATATATATATATATATATATATATATATATATATATATATATATATATATATATATATATATTAGGGCGGCTCTTAAAACAACTTTTTTGGGAAAAACCTGCTCTGATCCCTATAATTTGTTCTATATAATACTAAAACACTAGGTTTAAAATTGTTTTATACAAAAAATGTTTTTAGGGGTAGCTCAAGACCCATATAAAATTTGACGGGTCCCTAATATTTTGGAAAAAAAAGTTGGGAAACTCCAACTAACTTGCATACCTCGGCACCATTAAACACTCCCATGGCACCATTAAACACTCGCTAAATAATAAGGATTTACATGTGCGATGAATCAAAATTTGTGCTTATTAACAATGGTAACATATTGTTCAACAAAGCAAAAAGAGTCGATAAGAAGTTCTTCATTTATTGAAGGATAAAATTCAACAATGTCAAAAATGAGGAATTTATATAAATGTTTGTCTTTGATATTCTTGAACCATTTAATTACCTCCTGTATGTTACTCCACTGGTTAATGCATAAAATATTTCTTAGCTTGGTGCTTATATCAGATAAAATATGTTTGCTTATTCTTCCTATTTTGTTCTTTGCTGGGTTTATGAGATGAACCGTAGGATTATTTAAAAAATTAGGTTTACGATATTTTAATGTGATGAAACAGTTTGATGATCCATTAATATGGGTTTTGTTGAAAACATCATGATTTTTTAATATAATTTTTCCTTCTTTATTAATCTGATCTTTTACAGTTGGATTTTTTTTTTATAATTAGTTGTGGTAGCGCTTGTCATCAATTTATTGTATTTATCTTTAGGCGGCTTGTATAAGTTTAACGTCTTATCTGCATATGCGTAGATATATGTTGATTTTTGAATAGAGGAAACATCATTTTTTAATTTATTTTGCAACTTGCATTCGATCTTCCTAAACTGGATACAGGGTTGCAAAAAAACCGTTTTTTTGTAAAAAAACCAAAAACCTAATTTAAACCATAAAAACTATGGTTTTTTTGGTTTAAATTCGGTTTTTACTAAAAAATGCAGTATTTAGTTATCCTTTAAAATTAAAAAAAGCATAACGTATTTTATTTGAGTAAACTATATTCTTTATCAATATTATTGTTATATGTCACCAAAATTATTTAATATATCATTGTTTAATGTTCTATATTTAAATACAAGCTTTGCTGCTTTTTCTACCCCCAATCGATTTCTTAACTTAAAATGAACAAGACCAAAAGTTGAAAAAATTCTTTTGATTCCAGCACTAGAAGCTGGTGTATTTAATAAACCTTCAATTTCCATTATGTTATTGTAGATTTGGCTTTTAATTTGAGTAATATTGGTAACAAATTCTTGGACTCTTTATCTGCGAAATTCATGGCAGCTTCATTTTCATGCTCAGAAAGATTAGATCCAAAATATCTAATGTGTTTGCCAGGAAATGAGCATCACTGACAGTCTGAAGATATCTAGATTCAATTTTTTTTTTTTTCGTTTGATAAAAATGATAAACTGTTCATCAAATCTTTAAAAATTTCAAGAGTCACTTATTTTTTGTTTGATCTCTTTGCAACTTATCTAGAGCTACTGCAATTGGTTTCAATATTTTTAATAAATCTTCTGTGTTTTGCTTTATCTGTATATCACTTACTTTTTTACCAATCACAGGATACAAGTCTTTATTTTTTTCAAACATTGTAAAAATAATGCTCCAGTTATTGACATATTTTTCAAGTGAATCACATATAGAATTCCAGCGAGTTTCAGTAGGAAGTGGCAATTTTGTTCCACCACTTAATTTATAAATTGCTCCAGTTTGATGATTGTTTCTTATATATTTTATTATTTGTGTAACATGCTTGCTCACATTTTCAATGTTAAGATCATTTGCTAAAAGATTCAGCATATGAGCAGCACACCCATAAGTTACGATAATATCTCTTTCAGATGACAATATTTGTCTCATTGATTTCACATTAGCTGCATTGTCAGTCACAAAGCTTTTTACTGTGTATCCAAATTTACATCTTACAAAATCTATTGCTTCTCTTGCTAATTGTGTAAGATATTCACCAGTATGTGAATGACCAGAGGTGTTGATTGTTTCTACTAAAATGTTAATTTTATCTGTAGTTACAGAGATACAAACTATAGGTTCAATATGTACATTACTCCAGCCATCTAGAGACGTGGCTGCAATTTTCCCATTCAATACATTACATTTTTCAATTTCTTCTGTGTAAACCCTATATAATAATTCTCCTCCAATTTCAGTTCTATTAGGTAGAGTGTATCCCAGATGGAGCATATTGATAAATTAAAAAAAAAAAAAAAAAAAAAAAATCATGGATTTAAAAAAATATATCTATATTGAAGATTAGTTACATTTGTGAGCATAACCCTGTCTTAGTTTCCTGTTGTAAGTTCAAATCTTTTTAAAAAAACGTTAGTTTGGTTTGAACCAACATTTTTTTAATTGGTTTAAACCATGGTTTAAACCAATAGTTTAAACCATTTGGTTAAAACCATGCAACCCTGACTGGATATTTTTAATTATTTCAAATAAATTGTTTTGAAATGCACACATATCTTTAATCTAGTGAGGGTAATGCAGTGTCATTAATATTATCATTATCACTAGTATTGCTCATAGCATTAGGTTGCTTATTTATGTAGAAAAAAGCTTTTTGTTTCATTCTTTTGATCAGTATTTTGGTTCTTTCTAGTTATCGCAATTTGTATTCTTTATTAGATGATATAGGTATGTTTTTAGTTAAATAATTCACAATTATTTTCTCTATTTCTAAACAACTTATGCAGAGTACTCAACAGGAGGAGCAAATATACATAGAGGGTTGTGTTGTATTCTGTTGGATTTAATACAGCTCTTTGTCGGTTTCAGAGTGATCGATCTTTATTTTTTTATTTTTTTATCCATTTATTTAATCATAATAATAAAATTACAAATTTAATTATAATTTGCATAATTAGGTTCGGTGTCACTCATATAGTTTAAAACTAGTCAATGGAGTGACACCTAAACAAAATAAACTAATAAATCAAAAAACAAAAATATTAGATTACAACTAACCAAACATAAATTAATAAAAAATAAAAAAGATAGAGATATAGAAACAATAAAAAAAGCAAACTAAACGAAAGAAGTTAAAAAAATTAAAATCATTAAAAATTGGTATAATAATATAAAACTACTAAGAGTAACAAACCAGAGAGAATTAGCGGATAAGATGACATAAGAGAGATTGAATGTTTTAGATAACACATGTTTAATAAGATATGCTTCAAAGAAAGAGACTGAGAGAAAATAATATTGTAAACAAACACAAATAAGCAAAATGAATAAAAAGATAAATTAACAAATATTTAAATAAAAAGTATACATTATACACTTCTACATACAATATACAACATGTTGTATGTGTTAGTTAAAAACAGTAAACGACAACATATATAAGAAGCAACAACAATACAAATAACAACACAAACATAACAGCAAACTCGACAGAGGAAAAATGAAAATATATTTACCATTCATACATGACAAACAAACAATACTCGAAAATATATGACAATATAAATAATGTTCAAATTGTTAAAAACTAAAAAATTGTTCTTTTTACTCGTTCTTTTAAATTTATACTTTTTTGGCTTGAAGAAAAACCTGTAGTTCTTTTTATTTTCTTTTTTTGAACATTTTTTCTTTTAACTAGTTTATTGTTTTTTGTTTTTGTTTTTTTTTTTTTTTTTTTTTTGTCTTTCTTTTTATCATTATTTATTTATTTTAATCTTGCTTAACTTCATTTTCAATTATCTTTTAAATCATTTTATGTTTTTTCAATTCTTCTTTTTTTTTCCTTTAATTTTTTTTCACCATTAAGTTAAAACATCCACCATTTGCGATGTCAAATAAAATAAATATATTATAAAGTAGATCAAAATATATTAAATATTTAAATAAAAAATTTTTTAACAGTTAAATAAATTTCCATTTTGCCAAATGGAAATTTATTTAACTGGTGTCGAAGTTGGATAGAAAAAACTTTTTTCTGTGCCTACATGCCGAAACCAATTCACTTTTTTTTATTTAATAAAAGTTCTTTATTGGATGTTGAAATAAAATATTTCTCATTTATGCAAAAATTACATTTGAGGATGGGTTAGAAGGTTGACATTTTTTTACAATACTCCACTTGATTATCGGTTTAATGCCTGCCTCTTTAAGTTTCCAGATCTCATTAGAAAGTTCAGTGTCATTTTTATACCTAACCAAGTTAAATTATTTTATATGGTTTGCAAACCTGATCTTGAAGGAGTTTTTCCTAATACCAATATAAACTTTCTAAGCATGATTGATGATGGGTGGTGTTATAGTAGTCTTATAAACAATATTTTTAGTTAGTCATTGATTTTAAAGAACACGTAGCTCTATCTATACAGTTGCATTTTCTAACATTATCAGTATTTTTATTGCGCAAAAAGTGTTGGTTGTAGGAATTTAAGTTTCATGCAATTCGGCAATCATTCAGACATATATTTAAAATCATTAAAATAAAAACTGTTATAAAAAAATACAAAATTGTGTTACAGCGAGATCAAAAATCAGTTTTCATGCCAAACGGGAATTTAATTGGATGTCAAAATTCGATAGCAAAAATTTTTTCCTGTGCCTACTTGCTGAAACCAATAAAATATTACACCGTTTTGAGTATGGGTTATGAAAAAAGGTTTAAAAATTTGGAAGTGATAAAGAATTGATTACACACATTATGAGCATGACAGAAAAGTTCACAACTCATGCCAGTATCAAGTGTAACCAATCTAAATGTTTTAAACTAAGCATTATTAAATCAATGAATCCATCACTGAATGTTACTATTATTCAGGTTGATTATGTAGAAAACTTTAAGTTTTTTTCTCAGAATGAGCCTCAAGTTGCGCACTATGAACAAAATCAAAGTTCTCTTTTCACTGCAGCAATCTGGAAAAAAAATCTTAAAACATTTAGCATTGCATCTGACTCTCTGGATCACACAAAAACCTCCTTACTTGCTAATTTGGATGAGTTATCAGAGTTTATTTCATTTAATACCCAAGAAATAATGCATCTCGAAAAGAAATTTAACAAAATAATATTTTGGCATTTTTTTGATGCAATGTATGGCAAAGGAGTTGTCGATGGCATTGGGTCTACTATTAAGCATTTAGCAACCAACAAAATCTAGAAAAATTGAAATTGAATTATTAAATAAATTTGTGAATTCTCTTCAAGATTGTGAAAGTTCTATACTTGTCAGAGAAAGAAAGGTCAGTGCGCAATTGTGCCCTGCAAATATTACAAATTATCCAGCAAAAAAAGTTAAAGATATCTCTAAATTCCACTACTTTCACGTCTGTAATGGCCAGATCAAATCGGGAAAAACTTCTCCGTAATGCATTTGAAACAAATAAAAAATGAAATTATTTTTATTTTAAAGTATATTCTTATTTGGTTAATGTTTTCTTTTAAGGAAAATAAATCGTTTAAGAAAAAAATACAATAAAGGGGAGTCATCCATAATTACTTTAGTATGACAACTTTATTATTTTAAAATTACTTTAGTAATGACAACTTTATTATTTTAAAATTACTTTAGTATGACAACTTTATTATTTTAAAATTACTTTAGTATGACAACTTTATTATTTTAAAATTACTTTAGTATGACAACTTTATTATTTTAAAATTACTTTAGTATGACAACTTTATTATTTTAAAATTACTTTAGTATGACAACTTTATTATTTTAAAATTACTTTAGTATGACAACTTTATTATTTTAAAATTACTTTAGTATGACAACTTTATTATTTTAAAATTACTTTAGTATGACAACTTTATTATTTTAAAATTACTTTAGTATGACAACTTTATTATTTTAAAATTACTTTAGTATGACAACTTTATTATTTTAAAATTACTTTAGTATGACAACTTTATTATTTTAAAATTACTTTAGTATGACAACTTTATTATTTTAAAATTACTTTAGTATGACAACTTTATTATTTTAAAATTACTTTAGTATGACAACTTTATTATTTTAAAATTACTTTAGTATGACAACTTTATTATTTTAAAATTACTTTAGTATGACAACTTTATTATTTTAAAATTACTTTAGTATGACAACTTTATTATTTTAAAATTACTTTAGTATGACAACTTTATTATTTTAAAATTACTTTAGTATGACAACTTTATTATTTTAAAATTACTTTAGTATGACATTATGAAAAAACATCAATTTGATAACTATCATAAATATTATGAAAAATTACTCTGAAAGAGAGCCACCAGTTATTTAAAATTGCTTTTGTTAATTACAATACTGAGTTTAATACTTTAATAGTAACATAATAATTTATATATGCATATATATGTGTGCGGTGTGGTGTGTGTGTGTGTATATATATATATATATATATATATATATATATATATATATATATATATATATATATATATATATATATATATATATATATATATATATAAATTATAGAATCTACAATTAATGTATCAAATGTTCAAGATGCGTTGTTAAGACGTAACAGTTTTTCAGCTTCTCCAGAAACAGAGGTAACTGACAAAAAAAAAAAAACAACACAGGGAACTCAAGGAACATTAGCATTGAGTGAAAATAATCTTGGTAAAGATAAGGTACCAATTGATTTTTTTTTTATTATTGTGTTGTATTTGTGTTGTATTTTATTTCTATTGATTTCTTGTATTATTGTTATCAGAAGTTTGTCATACTTTGTATCATTTGACTTGTTTCATTTATGTTATTATTATTATTTTTGTAACATTGTTACAAAAAAAATGCTTAAAAATAAAATAAAACAAAAAAATAATATTTTTTTGTAATATGTTGATTTTTTATTTATTGTATTGTTTTTTTTGTTCAAAAGTCTGTTGAACTCACAAATGCAGCATTTGGTAATCAAGCAGGCAAAAGTTTGTTCTCACCAATTGCTACTTCAATGCCAAATCTTGCTGAGCCTTTAGAGAAGACTGAAAAAAATAAATCTTCTAAGTTTGGTTTTCATCTTCCTAAAGTGTTTAAAAAAAACAAGAAAGGAGTATTTCACAGTAATTTAAGCTTATCACCAAAAAGCAATAACTCTCATACTGATCCTGTTGAAAATATTGAGTTTAAAACTAATGGCAAAATTAAAGCTGTAAATGAGTCTTTAAATGATGTTATTGATCAAGAAAAAGCAAATGATTTAGCAACTGATGAAGCAGTGGTACCGTTTGCTGATAAAGGTTTGATTTTAATTACATGAATGTTTAAATTAATTTTTATTTATTAAGAAAGATCCCAAACTGATCTAAAAGATTTATTATTTACTTTAGTAATTTTAAATATGTTTTAAGTAACATTACTCAGTAACGGATTCAGGGGGGATGGGGGATGCATCCCCTACCACCACCACTAGAATCTGAAAGTCCTAAAATATATTAGAAATTGAGGACCTTTTTTTTTAAGGAGACACAAATGTGATACAAAAATATTTCAACATCTTCCCCCCACACACACACGCCTTCACCAAAAATTCCTGGATCCATCACTGACTACTGTGGTGTAATGTTTTTATTATGGTGTATGGTGTAGCTTGTAATTATGTGGTGTAGCTTGTTATTGCACTAACATGCTTAGATTTATTTGTAGAATTTTTTTATTTCTGTTTTAATTTTCATCAATAGCTTTTTTATAAATAAACAAGTGATCAGTGAAATGGTTTGTAAAGTAAAATATTTAAATATAACTTTTTAAGACAAAACAGAGAAATAAGATATGTTGAAAGGATACTTAATATTTAATATTATATAAACATATCCTATAATAATTGTTATTGGGTTTTTTATAATCATATCTAATACAAATTTTTATTGTATATTTAAAAGTTATATAATCCTTAAATCCAATATTATAGTGCAGGTCACTATGTTTCAAAAAAACTCTTTGTGTGCACATATGTGTTACATGCAAACTTTTTGTTGATATGAGATCCTTGTATGAAAAAGATTTAAAAAGTGACAGGTGTCACTTAATACTTATGTTTTATGTCACTTGGTATGACATAATAGGCCTCCATAGCAAAAAAAAAATTTAATTGTTATTTAAAAAATATTTTATACCATTAGAAAGAGTATTAAATAAGCTTTCCAAATCATATAAAAAACATATGTTGAAAATGTTCACTTCATAAGATATAGGCCGTTATGTAAGTTACCAAATCGAGGGTCATTTACAAAAATTACCACTAAATAAAAGATAAATTAAGAAGAACTGAAATAATTGAGCTAGTATATATATTAATATTGGTATTGTATAAACATATAAATAATATCATATGTAAATGAAAGTAGTATTTACAATCATAATATTTAATGAAAAGAAAAAAGGACACCATGAAAATATTTAATTAACAGTATAAAGTCAATTAACCTTGTCTTATAAACGGAATTAAAGACATTTATTGAATGAAAAGCTTCAAATATTATAAGCTTTCATTCTTAAACTCAAAAACCTTCTTAAACTCAAAAACTCAAAATTTTTGGAAATATATGTTAAAATTAACGTGCTTACAAGCTGGTATTTAATAATACAAATAAATTAAATTGCGTCTTATAAAACTCTACATTCATAGTCATAGTTTCCCTTTTGCTTGTCTACATTATTATTTTTACATCCTTTGCACTTGCACATATCAGTATAGACAAGTTTATTTTTCAAATATTTGCACCTTTTATTACTACACTCTACTTTACAATGACAGATGGTCAAGAAGTACTATTGGTGCTGGCAGCTTATCAGTCATTATGGGGTCAAAAGATCCATTGATTAGTTCCCAACTATACTCCACAGGTGATGGTAGATACTGTACGGACATGTTAGAGTGTTTAGAGCTAAACATACAAACTGACTTCGGAATATATGGTACTTAAGGACATTCATTATTGGCAGAAGTTGTGCAGCGTCATATTGAAATTTAGAGAAAAGAAAACCAACAAAGTTGAAATTCAGATTTCCATTAGCAGTGTTGTTTTTCAAGTCAATATTATCAATAGCAAAGTCCTATGGCATTCCTATTTGAATATTAGGAGGTACAAATGCGCATTGATTTGTTGATATGTTTTCAATAACAGTGTTTCCTAAACCATTTTTGATATTTATAATACTATCATAGGAAATAGAAAGTCCAAGATATGCCAAGCAATTTACTAGCTTCTTATTACGGGTTTCTTTATACACATGTAATCCGAAGCGACTGAAAAAGGTGTTTAAGTAACATCTTTGAAATCATTACCCGTTTTTGAGCAATGTGAGATTTGCTTATTGCTTTTTGCTACCACTACAATAATTTGCAAAATGTTATCAACACGGCTATCGATGGATTTTTTTTCAACATAACACAAGTCTACATTTTGTTTTGGTTCAAGTGTAACCTAACTTAGCAAAGAAAATAAGGGCGTTGGAATATCAAAACCAGTGAAATTTCCGTCTAACTTCCATTTTCTTTGCTGCAAGATTTCTTTCCGAATTATTTTTGCTGCCTCGAAAATTGTTGTGTTATCATTTTTTTAAAGTTATCTCCGCCTTTGCTTGATATTTGCTAGAGCAAAGCTGTTTGGACTTTCTTGGAGGTCTTGAAAAAATTATTCCTGGCACGTTATCTTGTAGAAGTTTCTTTATAATTCACCTTCTGTCTGGTCCTTATTCTCAATTAAGTTATTGTAAGTTTTATTTGTTGTATATATGTTGTTCATATCTATAGCAAAATCAATCTTCTTTTAAGTTCAAATGGACTAAACCAATGATTTCTACATCTGCGATAACCCGTCCAATATCATCCAATTCTTGAACTTCTTTTTGAGTTGTTGTCAAAACAGATATCTTCACTGTTACCCAACACTTTAAGTGGTATTTAACATCATTTGCAACAATGTCATCAGAATTTGGGATAGTGTTCATTCTAAGGAAGAATTCTTAATCATTTAGCAACTTGGAAACTTTTAAGTTTTTTTTTCCAGTTTCTGTAAACTCAACTTTTCGATAAATATATCAAATAATATCTAAATCAAATAAACAAAAAATTTTTTTTATGATCATCCTCCTGGCAAAATATTCATTTAGTAAGGTCAAAAATAAGCTTTCTTTTTTTTCGTTCTTTGTCCTCCATTTGTTATTTATATTTAATATGTGAAACAGCAATAGCACAGTATAGAAACATTTTTAAAAGCCAAAAACAAAATCAAATTATTCGAATTGATGCATTCTTATAGGCAGAATTATGTAAAAATAAAATAACATTATCAAAACATTCAAAATAATACAATTGTAAACCATGAAATATTCTATTTCATCAATGCAGGTGCAATGTTGTAAAAATCCGGAGGTTAAAAAAAAAATGATTTTTGTCTAAAATTTGTTCTAAATAATATAAATTTTATAATAACTAATATTTCTTAAATTATAATTAAAAACAAATTTTAAAAAAGATAAAATCTGCGTTCAAAAAAGTATTTTAAAAATTATCAAAAGTCACAAAACAGCGGTTTACCCCTGGTTAAATAAAAACATATTTTTGAATACCTGATTTATTTTCTTTTAATTGGTATAAAAAAAAAATGTCTTTTTAAAAAAAAAATTTAGTTGCTATGGGGACCAGTTACATTATACCACCTGTCTTGCAAAATCAAAATCAAGTGACACCTGTCATTTTTTAAATCCTTATCATACAAGGATCTCATATCAACAAAAAGTTTGCTTGTAACACGTATGTGCACACAAACGTACATAGTGGCCTGCACTATTAGTAATAAAGCATCATATATAATTTTAATATACCATAATATTTAGTATTTTTAGTGAATTTTAAATTATTTTTTTAACTGGTGTTTTTTTAACTAATAATTTAATAGAAAATGTTTATGTATTTTAGAATCTTCTATGGCCGCTGATCTTTTTGAGAAAGTGAGTTTAACAATCCAAAAATTTACTGTTTAAAGTTTTACACAATTTTACAATATAATAAAAAAAGATCAACCAAAACACGTAAACTCATAAACACACATCAATTCATCAACACACATCAACTCATCAATCACACATTAACTCATCAACGCATCAACACATTAACTCATATACTCATCAACAAAATTTACTGTTTAAAGTTTTACAAAATTTTACAAAATATTAAAAATTATCAACCAAAACACATCAACTCTTCAACACACATCAACTCAACAACACGCATCAACTCAACATCAACTTGTGCAATTAGTTTACTCACACTTTTCCAGTTTTCTTAATTTTTTTTTATCTTAAACTTGTTTAAACTTTAAGGGCTTGAACTTGGTATTTCTCACTTACAAAGTGACGGCTCTAAAAAAAACAAACAAACATAATAGTATCCCATTTCATCTTATAATAATATCTTCACAATTTAAACAAGCATGAAATTTTGATCAAATAGGTCAAATAATTAAAAAAACAATATAAAATATTTTGAATTATTTTTATTAAAGAAAATTTTTAATTACCTTAAAATGAATACAAATTAATTGTATACAAATTATTTTTACTATTTTTGTTGTTATTGTCATTGATATTATTTTTACTATTTTTGTTGTTATTGTCATTATCATACATACATACATACATACATACATACATACATACATACATACATATATACATACATACATACATACATACATACATACATACATACATACATACATACATACATACATACATACATACATACATACATACATACATGCATGCATGCATACATACACACATACACACATACATGCATTCATATATACTTAAATACATACTTTTTTTTTTTTTTTAATTTTTTTTTTTTGACAACTTTGCTATGGTTTTTTTGCATATATTGATAATTTTGATGTTTTAAAAAATGTGTTGAAATAACAAAACTAATTTAAAGAGAAAATCAAAAATAAACAAACCTTAATCTGAAAAGAGAAATAAATTTAAGGAATGATAAAATAAATAACGGATAAACCAGAAAAAATAAAAACATAAAACTAATATATTTTTTAATTTAGAAGCGTCTCAATTAATAGTTCAAACTTAATTAATTTTAAAGCGTTTCAATTATTAGTTTAAAGCTAATCATTTTTCCTATATCGCCACATTGATGTAGCGCATAGGTTGATTAATATTGTTGTTTGTGAGGCAACTGTTATATCAGCATTGATCGAGGGTTCAAATCATACTAATAGATGATTTTTTTAAATGTTTTATTTGCTTAGAAAATATTATTAATAGAAAATATCAAAGTTTCAAATTTTTAAATAATTTAGTTTTGGCTAATCAAGCTTGAATTAAATTCTTGTAATGAAACACATTAAAGTAAAAAAATATATTAATTTTTTGCTTTTATTTTTTCTGGTTTATTTTTTATTCACGAATGATAAATCATTTGTTAATATTTTAAAATTTTTAATTTTTTAATTTAGTTTTGTATTTTTTTTTTTTAATTTTTATTTCTCTTTCCAGTTTATAGTTTGTTTGTTTTAATTTTAGTTTAAGTTTACATTTGTTTATTCAGCGCATTTTTTAATTACACTTAACATGCAACAATGCATTTTTTAAATGCAACTTAAAACATGCAAGGAGCTGTGGTTAAGTTGTCAAAAAAAAAATATATGCGTAATCATATAAGGCTTGCGACCAAATGCATCACCTGAGAAGGCTTGTTTTAATATATATATATATATATATATATATATATATATATATATATATATATATATATATATATATATATATATATATATATATATATAACGTCCGATCAACGATCGCTATTTTTAGGGAAATTCAAAATTTTCAAGGGAAGTTCAAAAAATTCAAGGAAAAATAACCTGTTTTTTTTTTTTTTTTGAAAAAATTACATTTGATCGGCAAGCTTTGAAAAACTTTGAAATTTTGAGCGCTGATATATATATATATATATATATATATATATATATATATATATATATATATATATATATATATATATATATATATATATATATATATATACACATTAATTTACCTATAAACTTTTTCTTTGTTTTTTACATTTCAAAAAGAAACAATTATTAGTTAAATTATAGTATATATTGGCACTATGCATTTTTTTTTGTTTGTTTCTTTGTTTTCAGACTGATATCAGCTCACCCCAATTGAACAAAGATAATTCGGACCATTTTTTTAAAGTTTATGAAAGAGCTATTGATGTAGCTGTTGATGACTTAGATGGTAATAGTTAAATATACTAATTTAATTGAAATTATTTACACCTCAACTCTTATTCAACTTTTTTTGTTGTTGTTGTTTAATGTTTAATGAGCTTCTTGCTTATAAAATGAGCATTTTCCCACTACGCCACTACCACATATAATACTCTTCTATAATATCATATTTAAATAAGAATATGACATTGTGGAAATCTACCCAAACTACACAAGTGTGGAACCATGGACATTGAATTTAATTTTTTAATTGTTTATTTATTTCACTGTCTTTTTTTTCTCTCTCTCTCTTTTTTATATATAATCTTTATTTTGCCATTGCAAAAAAAAAAAAAAAAAAATGATTGTTTTCATAAATACCAATTTAGCTGAAATTGTATTCTTTAATGATTTTAGCTCTGGTTTTCTGTTTTTCAAAAAAAAAATTATTTTAGTATGGTCCTCTAGTTACCATGGTTACTAAATTAGTTTGTGGTTAATTAGTTTGTGACAAAATCTTTCAGGATTTTATAGTGAACTTTCTTGTTAATTTTTTCTGAAAAATTCTTTTTTAATGGTAAAAAAATAGACTTACAGCCTGCACCACCTCATATTACCTTTGCACACATTTTTCCTCTCTTAAAAATCATAGAATTTTAGAGCATGATTACTTTTAAATTTCAGGTAAAAACGAAGATGGAACATATGGCTATCGTAAAGATCCTTTTGACTGGGATATCAGACAGGTATTAAGTTTATTGTTATTTAATTTTAATATTAAAATGAATTTTTATAACAAAATCATAAAGTCACTAGTCACCAGATTTAGTAAGTAAAATATGGCTTGTAAATTGCATAGTGTTCTTTGGCCTTTTGAGTACTGTTCTGAATACTTTAAAAGAAAAAAAAGGTTCTTTTATAATTTGTATTATAATATTTGTTTTGGATGGTTCAGAATACCAAGTTTCGAATAGCTTGTATTTTAGTATTTTGGATGATTTGAAGCACAAAGTTTGAAATAGTTTGTATTTTAGTATTTTAGATGATTCCGAACACTAAGTTCCTAGGGGGCATTGTACTATACATATTTGATGATTGTATTCAACATTGCATTCAAAAAGAAAATGTTAAATAAAATTAGTTTTTAAAAGATATTTTAATTACTATTAATGTTTGGTTCTTTTAACAAGTTTGCCAATTACTATAATAGTTGATGAATAGAAATAAAAAGTTGATGAAGTTTCTGATTGCATTATAATTTTTACAGGTTGGTTTGTTTTTGGTGGAAAATCACCTACCACAATATGTTGATTCTTTTCAAAAGTTTAATGTAGATGGCCAAGTTCTTCTTGCAGTTAAAGGCAGTTTGCTCAAAGTAAGACAAAGTATTTTAACATGTTTTAAAAGCATTTACTTTACCAGTTAAATTATGCTGTCTATGATATCATTTGTTGATAGTTTTTCTATTTTTTCAAACCTCATGATAAAGAAGTGTGTTACTTTGCGCTGTAAAATATTTTAACATGTTTTAAAAGCATTTACTTTACCAGTTAAATTATGCTGTCTATGATATCATTTGTTGATGGTTTTTCTATTTTTTTAAACCTCATGACAAAGAAGTGTGTTACTTTGCGCTGTAAAATAAAAATGTTGTTAGCTTGTACATGCTTTTCACAATACTATCAAAATCAATTTTTAACATTGCAATATAGTTGGAACTGCGCTTTTTTGCCAACCTCAAACACATTTAGGTTAGCCGTTAGATCAGCATTGCCGAATGCCTAACTCCGAAGGTTTATATATTTTATATATATATATATATATATATATATATATATATATATATATATATATATATATATATATATATATATATATATATATATATTTATTTATTTAGGGTGCACATTGTAGGGATAGGAATTCAAAACAAACTGAGAATTATGACGAACTTTTAATTTTTTTCATTTTATATTTAAAAAATTTAACGTTTTTATGCCGGGCAAATATTTTCAAGTTACTCATTAATTTTTGTTTTCTTGATTAGCTGTAGTTTGGTTCAAACAAACAACTTTTTTATGTTTTTTGGGGGATTTTCTGGTGTTGGCTTTTAACTACTTAAAGAAGGAACTGAAACCAGTTTTGAGCTTTGGTCCTCACACTCCTTATGAACTCTTAGAATAGAGTCACTACTTGCTTTGATCATATCCAGCCACTTGACTTGTTTCAGACCAGCTTGATAAGAAGGACTATCTCTCCAGTTTGCTGAGTCCTGATCAAAAATCCTTGTTTTGCTTTTTCAGAACTTTATGCTTTTATGGAGGCTGATTCCACCAAAAGCTGTAAAATTTCAGATTGTTAACATGGTTGGTGTTCCAGATAGTATTTTTGGTGTATTGTTGCATTATTTAGGTCATTAGGAAGCCCTTGTTTACAACTTTGGGTTGAAAAGGTAAGAATGAGGCAGCAACATAGTTTATTGCTTAGGTTCTCAAGTACTGTCTATTTAAGTATTGCTTCATGTGATGTATCTGAGAGAATTTTTGAGAAATAGATTCTTGGTTTTCTTTCTAACTGCAATGTTTGGGTCATCCATGAAGGTCAACACTCTTCTTCATTTTCAGTAACTTCAAAGTTTTATAGTTGGTCCTGGTTGTTTTTTATGTACATTAATGATCTTTTGAACATTTAAAGTGGCTCTATTTGCTGACAACTCAACTTATACTTCTGTCTGAGAACAGCTTGAATCTGATCTCTTGAATCTGAGGCTTGCAGTGGCTTTTTAATTTTAATCTCTTTTCTGCAAATACTATCATGGTCACTGCTCAAACAAGCTATCAACTCTAGTTTATTCAACCAAAAATCATTTTTGCTTGTCATTCAACAAAGTTGCATCTTTTTACTGTATCTGTCCCACCATGTTTTTTATTCATATAGTTCTTTACCCTGTACTTCAATGCTTTGGGACTCTTTTCCATCTTTATACTTTCTCGACTCATAACCTTCAACTTTTCAAGTCTTCTGTCAACTGTTTCTTTGCTCTTTAACGTCTTTTTTTTTTTTTTGTAACTCCCAATTTAATAGCGGTTGCTTGCAGCTTTGTTGAAAGTGAATCATTTAAAAAAAAGTCATATTATAATTAATAATTTAAGTTATTTATCATAATGAAACCATTACCACCAAATTTTTTTTAAATAGTTATTTCAAATAATTGTGGTTTTTGTAGTAACATTTCATCCCTAGAATCTTAACTTTTTTCAAAATTTACTAGGCCATTTTGTGAGACAAATTTAAATTCAGTTGTTAAATCTTCAGATTTCTGTGTTGATAGGTGTTAACATTTGATTTACAAATGTTCAGAAAGTCACATGCTTGGTCTAGGCTGATATACACAGGTCGATGTGTGTATCGGCCACTAATTTTCATTAATTAACTAACATCAAAGATGTCAGTTAACAAAATCATCGTCGTTGTAATATCTGAATCTTTTTCATAATACCAGATCATTGCAACAAAAAATTTAGAATCATTGACTGGAGCAAATATGGAAATTCTTAAGTAGGGTAATATATATGTATATGGGTTTATGATGATATATCCTTAAAAACATTTCTTTTTAGTTTATATGTCGCGTACATATTCGAGGCAATATGGTGCGTTATGATAATGTTTAACAATAGATATCTACACACAATACACTTTTACACTTATTTAGTACTCATTTTTAACATCAAATTTATATTTTCTCTACAGGAATATGGAGTTGCGAATAGTGAACACCGCAGTTTAATCAAGAAAAAAGTTAAAGAATTACGCAGCTTGCACGGTTCATTTAACAAAGGTAAAAGAGATAGCAAAAGTAGAGTATCTTTTTGGAAAGGTAAATACAAGGTTACTAACTAAGTTTTTCGAAAATTTTCTGTCAAAATATTTCGGCAAGTTAAGCTCTTTATGATATGGTGAAAGTAATACTAGCTATACAGTTTCGTATACCCATCTCACTGATATTCAACACCTAAAAATACTTCTATGAAAATAATAGTTTTAGAAGTATATTTCGTATGATTTATTTAATATTTTATTACAATTAAAAGTTAAATAAAGTTCTGAATAAATTAATAAACCTAATTTAGGTTAGCTTCGAATATTTCAAAGCTAAAAATATTCTTTGCATTATTTAAATATAGTTCTGTTTCAAAAATTTTGAAAATTTTATGAAGTGATATCGATCTTTTCTGTTTTTTTCTCATTTCATTAAAAAAATTTTCTCATTTTCTCATTTCAATTTTTTCTCAAAATTTTAAAACTTTTTTTTTTTGCTTTTTTTCTTTTGTTTTGTTCATTTCTAATGTATGGTTCAAAATGTTTTTTGATATTTTCTAATGAAGTTATTTTCCCAGAATGTTATAGTTTGTATGTTTTACAATTTCCACTAAATGTATTTGTTTATAATATACTATTTATACGCATTTTTGTACACCTGGTTTTTAAATTATATAAATATGACTTTTATTTTATTTGGAAAATGCCATTTTCTACCAACAAATTTTATTTCGGTTCATTTATTTTGCTTTTTGCACTTAAAGTTATCTTTATTTAATAAAGAATTGACAAAAAAAATTGTAATAAATTGTTAAATGAGTTCTACAGAATCCCATCATTGTATATATTTTACTTAAGTTTTGATAGATTTTCTTATTTATATCTTGTATATAAGTTTCCTAAATGGTTGTCACTTTTTTGTTTGTTTCATATTTAACGTTTATCTTTTATATAAAGTGTTTCTTTATATGAAATAAAATTCTTTTATGGCAATTTCTGTTAAAAATATATCTAAATGAAACTAGAAATAAATATCTATATACAGTATCTTGTTAATCTCCTTAGTTGAATTTCCAAATCCGAACTTGCAAATAGTCAAATGTCTTTAAATGATTTAAGCGTTGAACAATTAAACGGTTTTAATTACATCATAAAATGCGTACAATTGTCAAAAATATTGTATTAGTTTAGACAATTGTTCTTACATCATTTTGGCACGCTGAATTTAAACCTGACATCAAATTTTCAGGGATTAAAACCCCAAAGAGATTCCGAACCCGGAACCTTTTTTGGGGGTTTTAGGTTTTATTTTTTTTAACTTGCAATATGTTTTTGTTTTTAAATTCAATTATAAAATTATTATTTTCCAATAATGAACTGAAAATAAAATATTTTACGCATTGTTTTTAAAAAATTATTGAAAAGCATCTGCAATACACGATATCCGAACTCATTTACAACTGCTAATGTGGTTTATGTTATATATACGAATTTTATTATTTTATGTTATATTTACTGCTAATGTGTAATCTCAATCATCAAGTGCAAGAAAAAAAGTTTACTTTTTTTTTATTGATTGTATTAAAAGTATATATAATACAATATAATATAAGAAGTTGTTATATTATAAAGCAAAACTTACTCTCTGTTATATAATAAAAAATAAAGGTAAGCAATGCCATTAAGTACGTTGTACTAAATTTTATACATTCTTATAATATTTATATTTTATGTGTAGTTCTTTCCACCTTAAAACGTGAATTCATAAATTCAAAAAAATATTCTTGATTCACTAAAACCCTATTTAAATAAGACAGCAACAGCCGGCAAAAACACAGTTATTCACTGTTTATGTAGAGTAAAAACAAGTCAATGAGAAGTTTTATATTGTTTTTGTTCATATTTTTGTCGTTCCTTAAAGGTAGCTGTTGCATAATTCATATTATCTTTTCAACTATAATCTATAAAAAAAATTGAATGTTACATGGAAAAATTAAAGAATTTATATATACATTTTTTTGATAATTTATTAAATTAATGATACTTTTACCCAGGCAATTAATAAAAAGAACTTGAAAAACATTTAGAATCTTATCATAAGGATTTTTTCTTAAAATATACTGCATCAGTAAAAGACGAAGAAAACAAAAATTAGCAGCAAAATATGAACAAATAAAAATAAGAAATTATGATAATAAATTTTAAAGCACAATTTTATATAAATAACAATATTAAATATTTTCATTAATTTCTCTCCTCCAAAAAAGAAAATTAAGCAACTTCCATTAAAACTTTTGTAACCAAAAATATCATTAAATAAAAATAAATACAGAAGTTTACGAAAATGCTTCAATGGGGGAAGTAGCAATTAATGGCAGACTATTTACCTTCATAAACGATAGTGGTTTAAGAAAACTTTTAAATCCAATTAAAAAAGGTTTAAAAGTTGTCGTATCAACAAGCAGGTTAAGAGCCCTTCTACAAGAAAAGGGACAGAAAATTATATATGAAATTTGTGAGAAACATAAAAATATCTTATTTAGATTAAAATTAAAGTTATTAATAATAAAGTAGAAACTTTTTTATTAGAAGAAGAGAATCATGAGAGTGACGACCAGGGCCGGTTTAAGGATTTTTTTTTTGGTATATGCAAGATCAAGGTTTGGCGCCCCCGATCATAAAAAAAATATATATGTGTTTTTATTATAAACTTATCATATAAAGTGTTTTTGTAAATTGCGCATATTTATTATAACCCATAAAATATAATAAAAAACATAATATCCTAATAATTATTTATCGCAATTTACATAAAAACTGACTTCAAATTTGTAAGCGTCATAAAATACATTTTTGATCAAAGAAATTAACAAATACTTATCGGACAGTTTATATTGACGAAAAATAAAACTAATCATCAAGTAATAAAACCTTTTTTGTCAGGTAATATGCGCAGCTGTTTCGATTGTACTCAGAACCCATTAATTACAGTGTCTAAAACTACAAATAAGAAATTTACTTTGAAAGACTCTTTTGCCGACATCGGATCGATGGTCAGCCTTCGTCCAGTTCTATTTCATCTGTAATAACACTATACAGTCCATTTTTCTATCTCATGTTCTCCAAAAAAGTCTTGGCATTTTCAATTAGTTTTGAAGCGAAGTTATCGACAACAAAGTTTAGTAAACAGCTTCAACAAGGAACAAATAATGTTTGTGGGTTTATGTCAAGAATCCTTTTTTATACGTCTACATTCTTTCCCTTCATGTTTACCCATTATCATAAACTTGACACCACGCATATTTTGTATTAATATTCCTTTTTTTGAAACCTCGTCTAACAAGCAAGCTATCAACCCTTGTCCGGATGTATCTAAGATCTGAACAAATCCAAGAAGATGTTCCCTCACGTTTCTTCGGAACTGCATAAACACATAGAGCAATATCATTTGTTCTTTACAACTTATATCTATAGTGCAGTCAAAAGTTATACAGTAATACAAAGCTTAATGCAGTTCAAACAAGATAAACTCAATAACTTTACAGGAACAAAGACCAACAAACTAATTTTGAATTTTTTTGCTTAATAATGTACGTGAGATTCTGTTTGTTATAATTTATAAAAATGGTTATATATAAATGCAACACCCAACATAAGTAGAAACAATGGTTGTAAAACATTATAAAGCGTAAATAACGGTAATCTATTAGGTCTCTATATTATATAATTTTGTGTTTATTAACTAACTTGATAGCAATAAATGCGGTCTTATATCAAATCTTACCTGCAATTAATACGGACTATTGTTTAGACCAATTTATTCAATGTCTCTGGTTGTTTTATTGTCTTCTGTCTCCATATCTGATTTGTGTTTTCTAAAAAAAACTTCAACTTTTGAAATTATTTTAACCATGATCTCCATAACAAACATAAGGACGGTAAGAAAATTTACTTTTGTTAGCTAAAAACAAAAATTACCTACCAAAAACTGGTAGTCAAAAATTATGTGGTATTAACTATAAATAAAGATGAGTGATATATAAGCACATGAAATGATTACATTATCAAGATGAACAAAATCCTAATCTCTGAGAAAAGGTCTCTTATTCATTGTGCCCTGTACCCCAACTTCCTCTACATAACTATGGCGATCCTATATGTAAATTTATGATGACAATAAATATTTAACATACAAAAAACATAATTTAAAAAAACAATTAACTCACAAACTTATTATTTTAAAAATTAACTTAATACTATATTAATGATTTACCGGACTTAATTTTGAATCATATAAAAATGTATGCAGACGACAGCAGGATCATAGGTGTTATCAAGTCAGAAAAAGATGCACTATGTCTTCAAAAAGATCTTGACACTGCTGTAAACTGGTCCAAAAATTGGCTTATGCCATTTAACATTGAAAAATGCAAAGTTATCCTCATGGGCAAAAAAAATAATAATAAGCCAAACTATTTGTATACAATGGAATCACAAAATGGTCATCGCAAACAACTCAAAACCACAACAAAAGAATGCGATTTGGGAGTTATAGTTTCGAATAACCTTAAAGTGAAATTACAAGCTGAACACGCAGCTGCAGCTGGAAATAGAGTGCTAGGGAAATTTAAAAAGGGATTCAGAAGTCGTGGTTTAACTCTTTGGCGTTTTTTATATACTACCTATATCCGACCATTATTAGAATTTGCTGCCCCAGCGTGGTCTCCTCATTTCATAAGAGATATAAACACAATTGAAAAAATTCAGCATCGAACAACGAAATGGATCAGGTCAATAAGTAATCTAAAATACGAGGAACGTTTAACACGGCCTAATCTGACTACTCTTGAAACTCGCCGTATGAGTATTGATCTTTTACAGCAATACAAAATAGTTAATAGAATTGATTCAATCAATTTTTTGGCGCCACAAACTACACCAGCCTATCGAGGATCTAAATACATTTTAAGAACTAGGAGCCATGCCTTTGAACTAGCCGCTGAAAAAACATTGAAACATGAAGAAAGACGTACTTTTTTCACTAAACGAGTAGTTAAAAACAGGAACTCCTTAACAACTACTACAGTAAACGCACCATCACTCAATTGTTTTAAATGTAGACTTTGATAGTACGATTTATTTATGCAATTTGGCTGGCGCAGCTATAATTGCAAATACTGTCAGAAAAGAGGGGTTTTTGTCAGCCTCTCTCCGTCAATAATTAGAATATGCAGTTTAGATAGATGCGTACCACGAACTGTTTTTATTGTCGATTTTAATAAAATTGTAAATAATTTTTGATTACTAAATAAATATACAATATACAATACTACTCCTTAATCTAATTATTTTTTCATTGAAGTGCTGAACAAAAATGTGCGAAACCAATAGTGTAACATATAAAGTTATATGTTAGACTATTAATATAAAAGCGTCCCGAAATAGAAGGTAGAACTTACGATGAAAAAAAAATAAGAAAGAAATAGTGAATATTGAAAAAAAGCTAACTATCCAAGCCGTAGAAATTTTGGATGCTTCATCTAAATTTAATTCTATCAAAATTTAGGTAAATGTATTAGGATGTTCAGCCCATACTTTGAATTTAGCAGCTACAGCTACCGTAAATAAGGCATTTAAAAACAATGACTTAATCAA